TCGTAGAAAATATGCGAGATCAGGTCTAGTTCCCATCATTAAGTACATGAAGCTACCAACTGCCTCTCTGTACGGGATCGCTTTCATCTCATGTTTTTCTTCTGGCGTTTGGGGGCACATGGCCTCCGTCAGCTTCACACTGGGATCAGCGGGTGTACCAACCGGGTGTGCATCAAGATGAGAGAAGCGATCCAGGACTTTGGTAGCGTACTTCTCTTGGTGGATGAAAATGGTTCGGTCCGTACGGTTGCGTATGATTGACCAGCCTAAGATGTATTGAGCTTCACCGAGATCAGACATTTTGAAGCGCTGCTTGAGAGCGTTCTTTATGTTGTTAATGATATCAAGCGTAGTGGCTATGATGAGGAGGTCGTCCACATAGACTAGAATGTAGCATGTAGCTCCATCCACAACTCCAATGAAAACGCATTGGTCTTTGATGAGTTTGTGGAATTTCATGGTGAGAAGAAAAGAGCACAAGGTAAGATACCAGATCCGAGGTGCCTGCTTGAGACCATATAGGCTCTTCAAAAGCTTGCAGACTAAGTGCTCTTTTCCACGAACAGTAAACCCTTCAGGTTGCAGCATGTAAATTTCCTCATCGAGGTATCCGTTCAGGAAAGCGGTTTTAACATCCATTTGATGGATCTCAAGGTCAAGGAGTGCTGCAATCGTCAGTAAAAGTCGCAGCACTTCCATGCGGATCACTGGAGAGAATATCTCATCGTAGTCAACGCCATACTTTTGCAAAAAACCTTTTATTACCAGGCGGGCTTTATAGCGCTCAATACTTCCGTCTCCATTGTATTTTACAACGAATACCCATCGACACTGTAGGGCCCTTCTCCCTGTCGGTAGTTTTGTGAGGACCCACGTTTTGTTGTCAATCAATGATTTGTATTCACAAATGGCTGCCTTCTCCCAGTGTTGTGCTTCTGGTAGTTTCTGGGATTCTAGGAACGGCTTTGGTTCAGATATGTGTCTGATAGCCAATAGAGCGTAGATATGAGTGAGGTGCTCTTTTCGTTCGTTAATGTCGAGTGGATCATCAAGTAGACACGAGTGTTCATCCTCGTTCTGAGCGTTCGTTTTGTGTTTGACTTTCTTCATCTTTACTACTACTTCCGCGGCAAGCGCATTGACGCTGCGTTTTAGTAGTGAGGCTATTGGAGGTAGCAATTGTGGTGTTGGTAGCGACGGTGATAGCGTCGGTGCGGGGCCATTTTGGACCGAGATTGCTGGTGTATTGAGGAATTCCAAGTGTGGGAACTCGTCTTCTCTAAACACAACATCCCTGCTGTAGATAACACGGTTTTCTTTCGTGTCAAGGAGTCTATATCCCTTTTTGTTTGATGGGAGTCCTAAGTACATGCACTTCTTAGCACGTGGTTCTAGTTTTGTGCGGTGTATCTCAGGGATGTGAGCGTACGCAGTACACCCAAACACTTTGATGTAGTGCGCGGATGGTTTTCGCTTGAACCATTTCTCGTATGGGGTGACCTTATCGGTTACCGAGCTGGGAGTAATGTTCAGAAGGTCAGCAACGTGTTTGACGCATTCTCCCCAAAGAACCTGCGGTAGGTTACCATCAATGAGGAAAGCCCTGGTTCGCTCGAGTAGTGTACGCATGCGCCTCTCTGCAACTCCATTTTGCTGGGGCGTGTACGCATTTGTAAATTGTGCGTGCGTATTGTACTTCTGAAAAATCATTTTTCCAAGTTTCTCATATTCTCGGGCATTGTCGCTTTGAAGATGTCTAACTTCTTCATCGTGTATGTTCTCATTGAACTGGAGTTCGCCTACATCAGCGCGAAAAACGTTTTGTGCTTTCTTGCGAATTCTTCATAGCATTCGTACAGCTCAGACTTTCGCTTGATGATGTAGATGAACATGTACCGTGAGTAGTCATCTATAAAGGTCAGAAAATATTGACACCCCGAGAGTGTGGGGACGGGTAATGGACCAGCCATATCAGAATGAACTTTTTCAAGAGGGAACTTTGCCCGTTCAACGGTACGTTTATTGAATGGGTTACGATGGGCCTTGGCGTATGTGCAGGAAGAGCAAAAGTAGTCTTTCTTGGAATCAAAGTCCTTCAGGCCCATGTCCATGACAGTGTTGGCTTTAGCCAGATCCTGCATAATGCGAAAGTTAGGATGACCCATTCGTTTATGCCAAAGTAAAACATTATCAGGCTTACCTGAAGTGGCCACATGGGCTACCTGACTTGAGGTTGCCGGGCTCGCTTGAAACTGGTAGAGTCGAGTCCCTTCACCAATTTTAGCTTCAAATTTGGTTCGGCTAGCGAAGAACAGAACGCACTTCTTGGCGTTAGGGAAGTTGATTTTGAAATCATCTTCGACGGCTTGGCGCACGGAGAGTAGGTTGAACTTCAGCTGGGGCGCATATAGCACGTTGGCCAAGGATATTTCTCGTTCCTTTCCCTTCGTGTCCTTGATTGTCATCTTGACATCACCAGTTCCTTTTATCGGAATCTGGTGATTGCCGCCGACAGTGATTGACTTGCCAGCACTTGGGATCAGCTTCTCAAACCACTTCGGATTGGACGTAACGTGGCGAGTGCAGCCTGAGTCGACAGTCCACACTGGGTCATGCTCCGCATCTTGGGCGGTGAGACTTACAGCCTCTGTTTCTTGTCTGAGGTCCAGAGTGGTGATGGCTATGATTCCATACTCGTTGTCGGAGTCGGTGTCCTTGCGGCGACCGTGGAATTTATTGTGACTCTTGGATTTTCCAGATGTATTCTTCTGGTTGCCGTTCTGGCTTCTGTTTCGATTGCTGTTCCGCTTGCTCTTGTAGTCATTCCGATTTTGGCTTCGTGACTTGCCGCCGAAACCGTCCTTGTAAGGATGCTGTCGAGCTTGATTGGACGAAGGTTTCAGCTTAAAGTTGGCGGGAAGCACCGTTCCTGCCTTTACCTGACCATTTTGTAGGAGGCGCTGTAGAACATAGCAGTCGACAGTATCGTAATTGGTGCGCAGGCAGTATGTACAGCTCATCGTTGAGATGAGAGCCTTGCTCTCTTGATAGGGAGCTTGAACCAAGGTTGGTTCAGGTGCTAAAGCCTGTAGGGCCTGCTCGTTTCGAGTTTCCCTCGATTCGGGTGTTCCTTGTTTGAGCGTGTAGCGGTTTTTCGCCAGTTCATGCTGCACCTTGGCCTCGATGTGACGCTTTAGCTCTTCGCAGGGAATGAATTTCCTGCTACCCTTCCAGACCGATAGTTGCTGCTTCCATTTTCCAGGTAGCGCATGGTACAAGTAGAGTGACTTCTGTTCGTCACTGAGCACACTGTTTGTGGCTTCGGAGGCAACCTTCATGGCAGATTCGATGTCAATTATGAACCCCGTAAGGTCTGAACCTTCTTCATACCTCAGTGCCATCAGGTATGATAGCACATGATACGGGTCGCCGTGGATGGCAGCACCTTCGTACTTGCTACAGATCGTCTGGAAGATCTCAAACGCAGTAGTCTTGTCCTTGACCATGAGAACATGTTGGTCATCGATGGTCTTGATAAGGAAAGCTTTTGCTTTTGCCTCGTTGAGTCGAAGCTTTTTCGAGCTCAGCCTCTGGCTTTTAGCCCTCAGCTTCTCTGCTCGCTTCAGTTCATCCCGCTTCTGAGCAGTGAATGACTGGATAACGGGGGGATTCTCCTGTCCCATTTCCACATCGCCGTCGTCTCCGGCTGTGGGTGCATCCGAACTTGCGGAGCTGGCATCAGAGGAGGACTCGCTCGGTGAGGAGCCCACTATTTCGTCGGCCTTGGGAGCACCGGCAGCATCAAGCGCGGCGGACATGTCGTTCATGTCGGACAGTGCCGGGTTGAGCTCTTCATCGGAGTCGAACTCGTAGTCGGAGTCACCGGTGTAGTCGATACGCTCGACGTAGCCGAGAAGGTTCTTTCCTTCGAGGGCGGCAGTGACGCGGGTCTTCCAGATGATGAAGTTCCGGCCATTGAGGCGCGGAAACTCGCGGTCGTCAGCGGTGGAGGCTTGCGTTGGGCTCATAACCTATTGAAGGTGAGGCGAGGAAGGTGGAGGAGCTTGAGTAGAAGGAAGAAAAAAGAGATGTGATTGAATTTTATGAGTCTGTCTTCAGAGAGTTTCCTGGCACCATTGATTTATCTTTCCTGTAAAAGGTGATGTATCGACTTATGCAGGATTGGGTCCAGAACATATTTTGTATGGTAAGACATTCTGTACAATAACTTGTACGCTATGTCACCAATTAGGACACATCATTGACAAGTTTGTCATTCCTGTGACTCTCAGACGCCATTCTGTTGCAGACAACCCTAATCGGCGCTGGCAGGACCTCTTTTTATGTATTTTGCCGTCTGAATGGAAACATAATCGCGATGCGAAACACTCTCTAAAATGCGAAGCCGTCCTACTACAAGGAATTGTGCCACAACTTGTAGACCAAAGGCTAAATGCTTGGTGGTATTGCATTCAGAAATTACGTGCGTACGATGGCAAGGGATGGAGAGGTGGATATTGCAGATGAGTACAGCCGAAACAAGCCAGGACTCGTGTCTATACGACGGTGAAGCCCCAAGCCAGCAAGTGCTGCAACAATGGAAGGGCGGCAGCGGAACGTGAAGAAATCTGAGCGGCGTTGACTATTGGTATCCCCTCGATTCTTGTTTGGCAGCCATCAACAGTGCTGCCAAGCACGTGGCTGGATTATTCAGATGTCGAAGTAGAAGAACCTTAAAACTAATTTGGAGGCGCTTGGCGGATATGCAGGGCTATTTCCGAATGGTGCCGCCACACTTTGGTTGACGAGTGAGGAATACTATTTAACCCTGAAAGCTAGATCGATAAACTTCAGCTTATGTCACTAAAACGCGGTTTGTGTATGACCATGACAACCTCTATTTTATGTTTGATACACCACTCTTAAGCCTTCCAACCACCACCAAGCATTTGCTTGTTGAGCTTGCTAGAAGTACAGCACCTCGTTCTCCAGCAGCAGCAATGGGTGCGCAGAAGAAGAAGGCTAAGTTTGTGGCAAAGGGTCTGCTGCAGCAGAAGATCAAACAGCGCAATGCCAAGAAGAAATTCCAGACCATGAAGGACAAGAAGCGCAACCGCTTCGAGCGCAACAGTGACGCGCCTAGCAAAAAGAAGCCGCGCAACGCTGCAGCCGATGGCGGCTCCGGAAAGAAAGATGAGCCGGACATGCTGGACGAGATGGACGTAGACGACTTCCTGAACGCCGATTTCCTCGACTCGGACAACGAGGAGATCGACGACGAGGTGGTCGACGATGCTGGCGATGACGACAGCAAGGCCAAGGTCAAACTGGAGAAGGACGACGACGACGTGGACGACGGTAGTAGCAGTGAAGAGGAGGACGAGAGTGCTCTTGATCCTCGCTTCATGACAGGCTCTATGGCTGGTGGAGATGACGACGACGACGAGGCTGAAGAAGAGGAGGATGCTGAACAGGAGCAGGAGTTAGAGGAGCAGAGCGCTGGCCGCACTGTCGTCACTATGGCCATCTTGCAGAAGGCCGAGAAGGAGTGCTTCGAGACCAAGTCGGTCTCTGGTTTGCGTCGTTTGATGAAGATCTTCAGTGACGCCTGTCGCTCCAGTGACGCTGCCGACTCCAGCAAGGAAGGCGAGATCACGTTTGACGTGCAGAGCAGCGCCGTGTACAACCGTCTGATGGTTAATGTGTTCCGTCAGACCCACGAGACATTAACCGCTCTGGTAGTACTCGAGTCTTCGTCCGAGGAAGACGCGAAGCTCAAAATTGACGACAAGAAGTGGAAGAAACACTCGCTCGTGATTCGTCGATTCTTCAGCTGCGCCTGCTACCTACTTGAGCAAACCACGGGCCAGGACATCCAGACGTTCGTGCTACGTGAGCTGGTGCACTACATCCCGTTCGTCGTGCCGTGTCCCAAGACGTCGCGGCGGATGCTCAAGGCGCTGCTCAAACTGTGGGCAAAGTCACTAAACGCCAATGTGTGCATGTTGGCCTTCGTCCGTATCCGTGACATGGCTCTGGCTGTGCCTTTCCCATTCTTGGAACTCTGTCTGAAGGGTATCTACGTGACGTACATGCGCAACACCAAGTTCACGAACGAGGTGACGCTACCCCACCACATCCTCATGGGCAACTGTGTGGTGGAGCTCTTTGGCCTGGACCTCAGTAGCTCGTACCAACACGCGTTCGTGTACATTCGGGAGCTGGCTATTGCTGTGCGTAAGACCATCACATCTCCAGGCCCAGATTCGTTCAAGGCTGTCCTCAACTGGC